TGTGTGAACTGCACATGCTCAGAAACACAGCATTAATAAGCAACCAATAACGGACCAATAACAGCCTCCCCGCCCACCTGGCTCCACCTGCTGCAGGTTCTATTGATCAGGTTAGAAACACACGATCAGGTAACATCTGGTCTGATTATTGATCACCTTCTCTAACGGATCTATCAGCTGTGATCGTCGCAATAATCTTTCACTATGACAACAGTTAACCCGACCCGGCTCGGCACGGACCTGCTCCACGTTCAGGAACTGGTAGAAGGTCTGCGGGATCTCCTCCACCAGGTCCAGCAGCTCCAGGTCCTCGTCCCATGCGCTAAGAGGGGGGACCGCGGAGCCCAGCAGGGCCAAGAGGACCAGCAGGAGCCCCATCCCCGAGGACCCGCTCCTGGATCCGGCTACAGAGACCATAGAGACCCGTACCCGATCGCTTCGACAGCCACCTCACACGGTCCGGAACATCCGGCTCTTCTTCTTCGTCTGTGGCGTTCATGGCTGAGGAGCAGCGCCCCCGCGCGGGCCCGCTGCAGCTCCGCGCGCCTCTTCGATCACGTGATTACGCTCCGCCCCGTTGGAGTACTGACGTCATTTCATTTTACCCTGTTGGAGCGTCCTCTAAACCCATGAGAGCGATATAGAAACATTCAGCTTTACTCAGATTTCGCTCGTTTCTGACAGAAATCAAAATGACCGAGAGAGACTCATCTGAAGCTCTCAGGCTTTCAGGACAGAAACAGAAATCTACAATTTGATCCTCTCACAACAAGAAAACGTTAAAAACATTCATATTTGTAATATTTTAATGTCTTTATTTATTTGGCGTCACTGTATCTCTCACTGTTCCCCTTTAATCGGTATTTCTTCCTGTGTTTAATTAAACACACCCATCTTTGTATGATAATTTTACACCACAGCTGTATGAAGCTGGTGGTCGTTAAAAGTTTCTGTTGAAATAAAGTTGGAAGAAAAGATGCATTATATCTGTAATGTTTGGGTTGTTCCAGCAGCGACTCACAGTTTACTCATTTCAGTTTCAGTGGACAGCAAACGCTCTTTCCACTTAACATACCAGATGTTTTTTGTATGGTGGAAAGCATCTCTGTGCCCCGCCCACTAACCCTGTCACACGTGAGCACACGTGAAGAACCGTCAGGGGTTCAGTCTGGAGTTGTGCAGACTTCACAGGACGACATCAGCATGGAGAGGCTGAGCGTTACAGCAGTAAAAACAGCAGCTTTTCATAAATTCAGTTTTATTTCTGTTGTTACACATTCAGGCTTACAAAATAAAAGCAGCACCACTGGCAAGCTTTTATTGTGAAATAGCAACAGCAGGAAATATTTCACAGTAACTACGTAAAGGTCCA